TGCACGCGGAGAGCGGCAAGGTGTTCGCGCTGCAGCCGCTGGACCACGAGGAGCTGGAGCTGCTGCAGTTCCAGGTGAGCGCGCGAGACTCTGGAGTGCCTGCCCTGGGGAGCAATGTGACTCTGCAGGTGTTTGTGCTGGATGAAAATGACAATGCGCCCGCACTGCTGGGGCTTAGCGCTGGCGGTGTTGTGAACGAGCTGGTGTCTCGATCGGTGGGGGCAAGTCACGTGGTGACTAAGGTGCGCGCAGTGGACGCTGACTCTGGCTACAACGCGTGGCTGTCTTATGAGCTACAGACAGCCTCAGGTGGCTTGCGCAGCCCGTTCCGCGTAGGGCTGTACACGGGCGAGATCAGCACGACGCGCATCCTAGATGAGGTGGACGCACCGCGCCATCGCCTGTTGGTGCTTGTGAAGGACCATGGGGAACCTGCACTGACGGCCACTGCCACTGTTCTGGTGTCACTCGTGGAGAGCAGCCAGGGGCCAAAGACCTCTTCACTGGCTTTTGTGGGTGCCGTGGGCCCAGAGGAGACTCTGGTGAATGTGAACGTGTACTTGATCATCGCCATCTGTTCAGTGTCCAGCCTGTTTGTGCTCACATTGCTGCTGTACTCGGTGCTGCGCTGCCTGGCGGTGCCCACCGAAGGCTCCTGTGGGCCTGGGAAGCCCACGACGCTGGTGTGCTCGAGCGCGGTGGGGAGCTTGTCCTACTCGCAGCAGAGGGGGCAGAGGGTGTGCTCTGGAGAGGGTCCGCCCAAGACCGACCTCATGGCCTTCAGCCCTAGCTTACCCCAGGGTCCCAACTCTACAGACAACAAGGTGAGTTTTAAAAATCTTATTCATACCAGTTTTCAAATTAGTATTACATATTTGATGTTTCCCTCCATAATTCTTTCGTTTTAATTTTTGTACATTATTATGGTACATAATTATTTTGCCAGCTTCTCTTCTCACTTTTATTTGTACTGGTTCATATTCTTTAAGTTTCAGTTATATAAAAATTCTACTTCAGTTGGGCTTGGTGGTAAGCATCTAGAATCCCTGGACTATGTATGTTTGAGACTGGAGGATCAGAAATTTTAGTGTGTGCCCTTTAGTGATTTAGTAAGGCCCTTTTCCAAAATAAAAAATAAAATAAGCACTGGGATTGTAGTTCAGTTGAAAAGCCCCTGAATTCAAAACCCAGTATGAAACAAACGAATGAGTGAACATCAGCTTAGTTCAGCATGGTGTCACACACCTGCAATCCCAGCATCAGGAAACTAAGGATGGAGAACCAGGGTTAGCTTGTGCTACACATTGGTATTTTGTCTCAAAACCAAAATAAAAGTGAAAAGCCCCAAGCTACTGTACTGCCATCCTTTTCTGTGAGTTAAGGGTGACTTCTGGTCACTATTTTGTTAGGGTTTTATCTTTACATGAATGCATGTAAAAACACAAATTTTTCAAAATTATACTTTAATATAATCACTTTTTATCTCTAGAAAATATTATAATTATAAGACATACACTGGGAGTTATTTTTTCCCAATGCCTCATTTTATTATCACATAGGAAAAAATTTCATCATCTTTCAATTATACCTTTTATTTAATTATATTCAAATTATTTTATCTTTTTAGGACAGTATAATATTTAGTTTGTTTTCAGTCATATATTTGTAGTAACTGATTTTTTCTAACTTTATCTAAACAGTTGGGCTTGGAATCACAAAATAAATTTGATATTTATAATTTGAATTTTAGAGTTAGTAGTTTCATCTTACAGATTTATTCCATATGAAATATATATAACACTTAAAATTTTAATAGTATGAAATTTACAGTTAAAATGACACTTTTATTTCCATCACAAAGGCACTTAATACTTCTTTTTGAATACTTAAACTTTTTTATTTCTTAGTTATATTTCTAGTGATATTTTCTTCATATGCAAATAAACTATCCTATTATTTATAAAGTTATATTAGTATTGGTTTATTTAATTTTAATTTTAATTTTAATTTTTGGTACTGGAGATCAAACTCAGGACCTTGCCTTTGCCATGCAGATGCTTATGCCGCTTAGCTATCTCCCCAGCCCTAGTATCAGTTTTAATCTTGAGTTTTTACATTTAATGACACGTGGTGATCAGGACTTTTTCCTTAAAGAGATTTCTCATTTCTCCTATCTGTAGTTTTCCATTTGTGGATATATATATAATTAACATTTCCCAAAGCTTAGCTAACGACACTTAGTGGAACACTGATTTAATTTTCTGCAACTTCTCTATTCTCCAATTTATAAATTATACATTTATGAGAAAGAATTGTGAATTTATTCAATTTTGCAAATCCTCACACATTTAGAAAACTGTACAGTTTTTATTTTTATTTTTAGATTGAGAAGAAAATTAAATGCACTATGAAAGAAACTTCTCTTGAGTTTGTGCTTATAAATTGGGTTGCTTATAACAATGTTGTGTGTTGGAATAATACCCTCAATTTCTAATATTAAAAACTTTCTTGGGCTGTGATATAGCTCAGCTGCCTAAGTGCCTGCCTGAAAAATGCGAAGATTTGATCCCTGGTACCACACCTTTTCCACTTTTTTTTTCAAAAGAGTGGTTATATAATAAATATTGGATACTTCATGTGATAAAATGTTTCTTATTTCTTTCACATTTCCTGTTTACTTAGTTACTTTATACATTTAATTTTATAAATAACCTTCTTCCATACTATTATGGTGGATATATATATATATATATATATATATATATATATAGAGAGAGAGAGAGAGAGAGAGAGAGAGAGAGACAGAGAGCCCTCAGATAGTGGAAATACAGAATAAGATCCTGCTACATCATAAGTTTGCAGTTAACAAGTGATAAATTTTAAAAATCAAAGTACATTAGTTTTGAAATGCAAACTCTTTAGTTTGTATTATTACTATTTTTTTCCTTTACAGAGAATGTGACTAATCATTTTTATGGCACACAATTTTCCCTCTTGATGAAGATGAATCATTTGCATATATCAATGGAAAAAATGCAGTATTTTCTTAGGAGAGGTCCACATTTTTCTTTTCCATATTATCTTATTATACACAGAGGATTATAGTAATCTTGTATAATTTTCTATCTGGAAACAAGATTTTTACACTTACTACAAGTAGATGCGTTATTAATCTTTGGGGAGTAATTGCAATGAGAAGACAAAAATGATACTGCAGTTAATTTTTACTAGTGGAAATGTAGTGTGGAAAGTACATTGTACTTAGATCAAAGTATGTGAAAAAAATTGCCACTATAGAAAATTTCAACCAAAAAACTATAGCCCAATATTGTGAAGGCTTATCTTCTTGTAAGCAAAGAAATCTCTAATTTTGGACTTTGTAATTAATTAGCAAATTAACTCTTTTATTGCTCCAAATAACTGTAATAGAATCCAGATAAATTGTTTTTAAGACAGATCTCAAGAAAATGCTTTTCATTATAGATTTGAAGCTTAATATATTTCAGAATTCTGGAGGAAGATAGGGATAGACTTGTGTGATTTGAATTGTATTAATTGTGACTAATTTTCTTCTTTAAAGAAGGTGTTGATACTCTGGGAGGAAAAACTAGGAGGCTTATAATGTCAAGCCCACCCTGGGCATCTTAGTGAGATGCTGTCTCAAAATAAAATGGAATGGGGATGTAGATCAATGTAAAGACCCTAGGTTCAATCTCTAGTACCACACAAGTAAAGCATTTAATCACTTATCACTGATGACATTAAGGTAGTTAATGGTAATGCTGTTGTGTGTGAATTTAATGTATCATGGTAACATTTTTATAGATAAAGAGGTGCAGTGAAAACCCAAATTGAGAAAAGATTGTATTAGTAAAGGGGAAATGTAAGCATTCTGAGGTTTGCAAAATACAATTCATAATGGAGAATAATTGGAATTAATCCTTGAACAGTTGTTTTAGGTTCATATTATAAGTGACCTAGAAGAGACCCTACTGCCTTAAAATTGTTAGATTTAGTGCAATTCAATGAAAATTATATGTAAGGAGCAAATAAGGTGTAGGTGCAAGGCAGAGGGACTATAGGCAGACTTTGAAGAATGCTAGTAGGGAAGAAGGTACAATAAAAGTACTTCAAGTGACATAGAGAATGTTTATGCCATTAAGATAATATATGAATTTTGAAGATCTGAACTTGGAGATTATTAATATTCATGTGTCCCCATTAAAAATAGTTATTAGGAGTCAATATGTATGTTTGAAAGTGACAATTAGAAACACAGAAAGAGTGTGAACATGTGGGCTTAAAAATATCCTGGTAAAGATCTCACCTGAAACATGGGAATGGATGAGAATATTTAAAGATAAATGATATAGGGAAGACTGAAGTTGAGCAAAAAAGGAAAACATCATTTTGGAGAAGCAGAAGAAACGAGCAGTATAATGCAATGGGTGTAGTATCCACTGAGTCTGAGTCAGTGAGAAACATGGAAAAATACCTTAAAATGACAAGACTAATGTACACTGCACAGAAATTAAAAAATGTTGTAAAGAATATTCACTAAAACTATAGTTTTATATTATTTATTAAATTCCTTAAAGGTGTATTGTATTTATTGATCAAAGAAAAAATTTATGCCAGTATTCTATGGTGTGTAATATTTGGATAGTGTGTTGATATTAAATTACAATATTTCCTCACCTCACTATATAATAGTGTTTACAATAAAAGACATAGGCAGGAAATTTTTCTCTATCCAAAATGTGTAGGATAGTTCTCATATATAATTTTCAAGACTAGTTTGCAATACGTTAAAATTTTCTAAACCTATCAGCGCAAAGGATTAAAACATTGGAAGTGTTTCTATATGAATAAGTAGAGATCTCATTCTAAAATAGTGAAGCCAGACAAGATGACAGACCCTGAAAAGTACTAACACTAGAAGGATTTTCTATGAAGTAAACAAAGAATACATATATACAATATATATAAAAGAATTTTAAATTTAGTTGATGAAGAATGACAGTACAAGGCAGTTGTACGAGTTCATCTCTTACCATTTGAGGCCGCGTGATGTCGCTGTTTACCATGAAGTTTCATCTACCAATACACAAAGCTTATCCTTCCTTACTCTGCGTCTTACATGGCAGCTGAATGATGACGAACAAAAGAGTTGAACTAGAAAACTTGGAAATATAAAATATGGCACATTTATGCCGAGAAAATATCCTCTAAAGGAAATAAAAAGGGAAGAACTTGACATGGACTTTACCACTGAAAGCAGAGTGGGAATGCGGTGGCCGCTGCTCTCGCTTCTGCTCCTCACAGCCTGGGAGGCAGGGAGCGGCCAGCTGCACTACTCGGTCCCCGAGGAGGCCAAACACGGCACCTTCGTGGGCCGCATCGCGCA